TGCTTGTGTCTGTACAGGATGCAAATCATGGAGCCACTGGCCCAGGTCATGAATCCCACACACAAAACATCATGGGAGGATATCAGCGCTACATAGAGTGAGAATGTGACATTGTCATGGTGGCTGGCACAGTATTGCCACACAGTTTTCTTTGTCATGGTTTTATTGCTCCAAGTGCCAGACCCATAAATCGGAAAAATGGCATTTACCAGCATGGGCAGGATCCAGCAGAGGGTATTGGTGGGACTGATGTATTTTACAGCTTTCACTTTAAATGTTGCCCACATGGAGTTCGTAGGGCTGATCGTGATGGTCTGGAAGACACTCAAGAAGCAGGTGGTGAAGGTGGACACGCTGCTGGCCACCCTTTCGAGGTAAAAAACAAGTTTGCATCCTGCATCACTGAGGAAATGGTCTACCCCGAACGCAAGCATCGTCTGTGGGACTCCTTTCGAGAAAATGACCAAGAGGTTGGCTGCAGCCAAGGTCCTGAGGATCAAGTTTGTCGACCGCGACCTGCCTCCGTGGAAGCGAAAGAAGACACGGAGAATGAGGAGTGAGACATTGCCCAGTGTTCCAAGGGCGACCTGGAATAGGAGAACCACTGCTATTTGTAGATTGATGGAGGCCATTCAGTCCCTTTCTAGAGCTTTGACACTCGAATTTGCAAACAGGTGGTGCTGCATGAAAACATGGGTTTGGGGATCCACTCTGCAGGGAAAATATAGTACAAAAGTTTCCACTTAGGATGATCTCACTGTGAGAAGTTCCCTTTAAATAAACTTCCTTTTTCCTCCTTCTTCTTTTTCAGGTAGTCCTAGTTATTTCCCCCGTCAATGTTCGGTTCTTAAGCATTGCCAAAGCATCGGCCACTGTTTGGAGTGCATTCTTGACCTCTCCTCTTATAGTTTATACTTATGACTGCATGAGGTAAGTGGCAATACTATTGTCTTTTATCAGGCAGGGGGTTTTACTTACAGAGAAGTAAAGGCACCCATATAAATAGTCACAGCGTCAGGGCCTGATCCCTGGTCGAATCTGGCTGCACTGACACTGGACTTTATCATGATGCTATTTTATCATCGAGCCTTCAGATTGTACTTTCAATAATCCAAATACATGTGATTTAAATACATGTGAAATTCTGATTGTTGTAAGTTGCCATTTGCTCTAAGTATTCTAGAGAACAATACCATGTATGGGTCAATTTAAATCTTAGTAACACATGGCTATTCCAGGTAGTTTTTAAAGATCCAACTGGGTTTATTCAATAATTATTAATATAGAAAGGGAATCAGTAATTTTTGTCAGGAATTGCATAATTCCTTTCAACACAGAAATTATTGTACAAAACTACACAGTCGAATCAGTAAAGGACACAGAACAGGTATAAGAATCGAGTGTTTGGGGGTAAGTAAGAACAAAGTTAGTCATCATCATAGATCATGGGAACATGTACCATATACAAGTTTTCAGAGAAAAATATAAAATAAGAAGTAACATGTCTTGGAAACTATAGCCAAACGTAAGATAAATTGCGAAATTACAGAAGCTCGCAACCTTTTTCCAACTATCAAGCAGTTACACTGAGTCTCTGCAGAGAACTATACAATTTAATTAGCTCCGCCATGACATGCACGAAGTGTTTAGTGAATGAATTATACTACTTGGGAAAAATCCCACTGCTTTTCACACGCCACTTGGAATGACAGCTCAATTTTGAGATCACAACCCGGAAGCAATGTAACATTCCGGTTGTTACAGCCCTTGCCTCCGAACCAAGAGCCATCTTCCTCGAGGATTTCATTAAAGAGTAGCCCAGGACGGGGGTTGGATCAGATACCCCGGTCTCTCTCCAAAAGCTCAGAAATTGCCACCCTTTCTGGTGACACCATCGCTAGATCAATATCTGCACTCCGAGAAACCTCCTTCAGACATGGTCACTCACCCAGCCCGGGCTGTGCGTCTCTCCCTTCTGGAACCTGCCTTCCTGGTTGAAATACAAAATACTCACCGACATCCTACCTCCTGTCTGCGTGACAGGCTCAGCGAAGGTCGCAAGAGCTACAGCAGGTGCGAAAGAGAGGGATATGCGGGTTCTGATAGATGAGCTAGTCGTTCTGTGACCTCCCCTCCCCACAGAACGGCAATTTTCACTTCACCTGTAGCAGGCATGAAGCGACACCACTGGGGATCTAAGAAAAGTTCTGAAAAACGTTACCCCACTTTCTAATTTCCGGAAACTCCAGGGTCTGGGGATCATCTGCAAAGAGACCACAGGGCATCTGGGAGTCTCTTCTTTTTCCATGGCTCCTGGAGGCTGACGGGCGTTCACTGGTAGGGAGCAGGGGAGGCTGAGGTCTGAGCCAGAGGGATCGACAGACAGGAAGCCTCACGTGTCTTACTGGGTTTCTATTTCTCCCGAGAAGCTCTACTATCACAATCTAAAGCCATACTCGCCTTCACACCCCTCTCTATCATGAGCATGTCGTTTATTGACAGTGTAATGGCGTCACATAAAGTATCTCCAAGGGATTTCCGATGTGTAATTGTGAAAGTGAGTGCGTGGAATTAGTGCATTGTGGTGGTGGTTGTTAGGGGCTGTCGAGTGAGTTCCGACCCAGAGCGACCCTATGCTTAACAAGGAAGCACTGACTGGTCCGGCGCCGTTCTCATAACCGCTCTTATCTTTGACCCATTGTGGCAGCCGCGTGTCAGTTCATCTAGTCGCCGGCCCTTCTCTTTTTTCCGGCCCCTCCACTTTCCCAAGCCCGATGTCTTCTCCAGGGACTGATCTTTCTTGATAACATGTCCAAAGTAGACGAGACGAAGTTTCCCCCTATCGAGGGGTGATTTATTAGGGACTGATTATAAGGGTTATATGTAAGCAGATTACAATTTTTTTTACTAGGCAACAGATGCCTCACTGGACAATAGTGATTGTGTTCAAGGGCATCCAACGTTGTCACAACACCTTCCATGTGGTTTCAGCTTCTCCACTGAAGGCAGCAAATCATGCTCGTTGGTGGTCAAGGTCGAGGAGATCAGTTTCTGAAAATTCTCAAATGTAACCATAATATTAATATTTTCCATCAGTGGGGGTGCAGAGAAACCAATTAAGCATTTGTGAAAGAAACTTATTAGGTACATCCGTAGGAAACTCATCCTTGTATATTAATATGTAGCTAGCATAATTACTTGTTTTAGCTATGTACATCTGTAGCTTGTGGATATTTGCCTTAATGTGCATAATATATCTTATTACAGATTTTGTCAACTTGTAGCATTTTGTCAGCTACCTAAAAAGATGGTCAGATATATCACAATCTTATGGTCAGTGTCTACCACGCAGTAGGCTGATGTTTGTCCCATTCACACTTGCTTTCTTCCAGTGTTATCCTATTGCAAAGCAAGACCAAACGTTTAGATTGGAGGTATCCATCTTTTTGGCAGTAGGAGTTCAACCTATTCCCTGGGTGCCTGTCATTAGGGGTGAGATTTGATTGTCTCCTGTCCAGGGGTGATGCTTATTGGTGTTTGAAGCTGCAGTTTAAGAATATTCACCTTGGGCATGGCTGCTGAGATATTGTCTTCCATATCCCCATAGCTTGGCTGGTGGGTGGCTCACAATCTCACAACTGTAAGGAGGATCACTACAGAAGGAGCTTCAGGGATTGTTCTGATAGCCGCAGACAAAACAAATGCTCAGTGGTGCTGGGTTTGTTGCCAGCCACAAATGTGTTCATTTGTTTGTTAAGGAGGCCACTCTCCCCAGTGAATACAACCACTTGAGGCTGATAAGGTAGGGGAACAGGACAATCTAGACCTGGCTTCTGAGCCCATTCTTGCATAAGGACGCCAATGTCGGGTAAGAACCCTCATGACTATTAATATCATCCTCAGTATCATACACGGGCATGTTTTCCAAATCCGAAATGGTGTCCAGCTGATAAGCAAAACCACACCCATTTCTATTAAGTGCAATCCAATTCACAGGAACCCTAGGGGTAGAGGAAAATGACTCCACAGGCCTTCCTTGGGATTTGAACCCCTGAAAGTGCATGCAGTGCTCCAACACTGAAGCTACTGTGCCATGACAGCTCTGGATCGACTCAGATAGTAGGGTAATGTTGCAGTCATTCACTCTAAGACTGACATGCAGTCAATACTCATGGTAGTGAACATATAGGGTTCTGGAGACTTCCAAACTTCACAGGAGTAGACAGCCTCCTCTTGGGGCAGTTGGTGGGTTCAAACCACTGACCTTGTGGATCATGTATAACCCACTATATCACCAGAGCTCTTTTCTGTAGCTATCCACATATGTGAGAGCAGTATGGCCTGTGAAATAAATTCGATGAATCTGTTAAGTAATTGTGTGTTTTCCCAGGTTGTCTAGAGAAACAAATTCAGTGACACTCATCTACGTATAAAAAAGTGCTTTATATCAAGAAGTAATTCTGTATCAAGGAGGTATCTCAGTTCAGCCCAACTCAAGGCTGTAAACATGATGCTAGTCCATAAGTCCATCTTCAGAATCAAGTAGTTACAGGCTGGTGATGCAGAAAGATGCAGAGAGAAAGAGGGGTGCAAGAAGAGCACAGGCTAGTAGGTGCAGAGTCCCATGGCTCCCCAGTCAGTGGAAATATGGCAGGGCACTGACAGCTCTTAAGGCCGGAGAGCCCACATGGAAAATTTTATATCAACAATTTAAAATACAAGCTCCAAGGCGTGCTAATACTCCACCTTGGAAGAAGTACAGCAGGAGCGATACTTAGAAGCAAGGATGAGCAGACCTGGTCTCGCTTTTGTTGGATGAGTCATCAGGAGGAAGCATTGGGTAGAGAAATAGATAATGCTTAATAAAGTAGAGAGTCAGTAAAAATCAGATTGATACAGAGATTACAACAGCGGGCTTAAACATACCCACATGTGTTCTGGTTATGCAGGACCAGTATCATGATGAATGTAAGTTGATGAGCTAGCAACGAACCAAAACAATCACTATATTATTTTAGGGCTAGTTATTTTTTGGACACAGATTTTCCATGAAATCGTTAATAAAATGGAAGACTTACATGACCATGGAATTCAATATCATTTACTACTGCTAGGCAAAATCCCAGTCCATCTCTACAATTACACTGGTTCTTGAGATTCTACGACGGATGATTTTGTCAATGATGGAATTGGTGTAAAATAGACACATGATATTTTCCCCATGAGAGATGGTATCTATGTGTTCTTCCTATAACAGAAAACACCATGTCTAGCCACACGAGAGTCACTGCTCAGGAGGACGAAGGGGCTGAGAGTTGGGAAACACACAGTGATAAAAATGGATGTGTTCACTACCCACCAGCTGCGATCACCTGAAAGAGCCAAATAAGCATGAAGAGTGGAGGAGAGGGCATAGAACAATACAAAGATACTCACCAGGACAAGGATACTTTGGGTGGCTCTGGTCTCAGGGGATGATCTGGGGGACATGTTGTTTGTATGAATGTAGTGAACCTGCTTTTTGTGTCTGTGCAGGATGAAGACCATGGAACCACTGACCCAGGACATGATCCCCAAACATACAACATCATGGGAGGATATCGGTGCTGCATAGAGTGATAAACTGACATGG